CCTCATGGAGCTCATATTTCAATAGGAGAGAAAAAACCAACAAGATAACCAAGTAAAATATTTAGTAGGTTAGATACTAACACATGCAAAGGAGGAGATCAGGCAGGATGGGGAGTGTGTCTTGGTGGGCAGGGGGCGGGGCGGGCATACTTGCATTTGGCTAGTACACATTGGGACTGGAGGGCATGCGGGTGCAAGATGGATAAGAGAGAGAAACTTGCCTAGATTTTGACAGGTGGCCCAGCAACAGAACTGGAGCTCATGTGTCCTCCACAGCCCCTAGGAGTGGCCAAGCCTGTATGGCAGATGTACTTGATGCCTAAAGATGAAGAGGGTCCAGGAAGGGCTTGGGGAGCTGGTATTTAACGCTTCCTGTATCCTGGACGTGGGCATAGGGACACCCCTTTGCACCTCTGTGCAGTCAACACCCATCATTATGCTTACCAAGCGCTTGGCTGCATGAGGCAAAGGAAATTCAGTATCAGGAGGGTAAATAAACAGTCAGCCCCTTGCCTCTTTCTCTCCACCACACACCGTCACAGAAAGTCGGCTAATCCCACCAACACTAAGGTTAGATTTTCTGAGCAAAGCTTCACTCAAGACACAGCTACCCACAATTCACATTCGCATGAAGGAAAGCATATTCTAAAACTGCCTAAGATTTTTTTTTAATGTAACTTTTAGACTTTGAGAAATTTAATCAAAACTGTCATAAAAGGGCATTCTCCTTTGACTTATCCTTTCCATTTCAGTAGCAGAAATGTTGCACAAGGCAGAAGAAGAAAAAAGTAATTTAAAAACACCATTGAACTGAATCTATGGAACACTATTTCGTAGAAAAAGCCCACACTGCTAGAGGCTCCCTAGGGAGCAGGACAGCACTTGATAGCATTTTCGCTGGCAGCTTTAGAGGACAAATTTGTCTTAAGATCCAGGGTATTACTGGGGCTTTAAATAAGTGTGCTGCTGCAAGAGCTTTGACTTTGGGCTCCTGCAGGGGAGATGCCTTATAGAACATCAGGAACCACCAGATTGACACGCAGACTACCTGCCTCACCTGCGTTAATTTCCAACAGTGAACAAGATGGAGGATAAAAGGCCCCAGGACCGGTCCCTCAATGAAAGGAAACTCTAATCATCACTAAGAAGAACAAATAATAATAAGAAGAGCTCTTCTTACATTGGGCTTACTACGTGCCACTTTCCACCCATTAATTAAATTAATTCTCATAAGAGCTCCATGCATTTGGTGCTGTTCAATCCCTGATCCCGAGACGGGCAAGGTGAGACAGAGTGTTTGGTCTGTGACTTGAACTAATAACACAGAGGACTAATAATGCAGGACTCCTGGGCCTGTGCTACTAAGGAACTAACCGGTGAGTGTGACACACAGCAACTGACTTAAGAGCTACTTTTGCAATGTTTCTTCCCAGCTTTGAGCGGGGCTTGGAATTATTTACAAAGAATTTAGGGGCAGGTGAGACCCCAGCAAACCTGTGATACAGAGCTCATCCTTTTTAGTCCAAATGATCTCAAGGTCAGAGAATCAGCTTCTGGAATCCTGTAGCTGATTGAATACCAGCACATACAAGGTCATTATTGCCATTGGTAGCTGGCTTGCAAATGGACTTTGAAATGTCTTTTGTTGTTCTTGCTGCTTTGAAGGCTTTTTTATTTAGTTGTTAAGCTTTCTCCTGCATCATTTTTTTCCCTGTGACGCTAAAGGCCTCAGGACTTGAATTTGCCTGTGACCCCAGCTATCAACAGTACTGAATGTTTTTTCTTAAAATCTACTTTGCATTAATTTGTCTAAGGCCCGTCCCTCCACTGGCAGTAAGACATCAGAGCAGACGTTGGCAAGCATTTTCTGTAAAGGGACATATAGTCACTGTTTTAGGCTTTGCAGGTGCCATGGTCGCTGTTGCAACTATTCAGCTCTGTGTGGTTGCCACCGACAATACTATACACATGGGCATGTGACTGTGTTTTAATAAAACTTTCTTAATTCAGGTGGCAGGGCAGATTTGGCCCAGGAGGCTTCCTGTGCATGGCCCCTGCACCAGAGGGGTACACTTCTTGCCTACTTCCGATCTGCTTCAAGTACGGAACCCTGGTCACCTCATACCTTGGGCGTCTCTCTGCCCCTTCGTTGATTTGGCCCCAGAAAGGTGGAGCCATGTGCCAGATTGGTGAATTTAGGAAGAATAAACTGAGTCTGCCAAACTCAACTCTGCCCCTTTTCCCTTGGTAGTGTCTGGCCCACAGGGGGTAGAGGGGTCTTCTCTGCTTTTTCCGGCGCCCACAGCTCTAGTGGCTGGATGGGTAAATCCATCTGATTCAGAGCTTCAGTCTCCCCAGGCCCAAACCCATTTGCCCAGAGTCCTTAGCGGGATCCTGCACCCTGGCTTTTTTCTCTGACAGATATGTATCTTGGCTCCCACCTGCTTAATCCTTTATCTTATTTCCCTATAGCCTCAAAGTGGTCATCAATAAGACCCCTCAAAGATACACATAAAATGGTGTACTGTGAATTTTTTCATTATGTCAAGAAGCCGGATAATACTTATATACTTTCAATAAAACAGCGTGGACCAACTTAAAACATCAAGACTCCTTGATTTTTGGCTGGTTCTCTCATGCTGTGCATTAATGCCATGCGTGACTCATAAATTCACTGGCAAGAAGTTCTTTCAAAATATGCTGCTCATGGGAGGAAAAGATATGAGGTCCATGGTGGCTGTGAGGTTGGGAACCACTGCTCTCAATCCCGTTCCTGTCTTAATGGTCAGCAGAGATATTCAAGCCCGGGCCAGTCAGGAAACAGGGAGGCAAGGACAGATGAGCTACAGGCGTCCCCTTTCTTCCTCCTGTCCTTTTGTCCTTCCATATCGTCAAAGTCAAGCAGAGAGGCGCTACCAGATACAAGAGATCCTCCTGGCTGAGGTTTATGTGTCGGTTTGCTGGGGCTGCCAAAACACGAAGTACCCAGAACCAGGGTCTAAGCAACAGACATACACTGTCTCACAGTTCTGGTGGCCAAAGTCAGAGATCAAGGTGTCAGCAGAGCTGGTTCCTTCTGAGGGCCGTGAGGGAAGGATCTGTCCCCAGCCTCTGTCCTTGGCTTACAGACAGCTGTCTTCTCCCTGTCCATTCACATCATTTCCCCTCTACGCAGGTCTGTCTCTGTGCCCAAATTGCCTCTTTTCCTAGATGGCAGTCATTGTGGATCAGGGCCCCCCACTAATGACCTCACTTTGATTACCTCTGTAAAGACCCTGTCACCAAATAAAGTCACATTCTGAGGTGCAGGGGATTAGGACTCTAACATAAGAATAATAGGGGGACACGGTTCAACCCCTTACAGTTGTCTAAACTAGAAACTACTGCTTCTGTTTGCACGGCTAAGCTCCATGGTATCCTTTCACATGTGGCAAGTACTCAAATGTGTGCTGACCTGATCTAAATGGGGATTCACTTGGGCTCTGTGGATTGTGGGTAGGGAGAAGAAAAGGATGTGTTTGGTGGGAACACCTCACACATCAGGAGGGAAAGACCTCCTTCCTCCCAGGCACTTGGTTATAGATCCCTCTTCAGGCCACCCCTTATCACTGCAGGCTGAGCATCTCCAATCAATGCGCCTTTGAATAATGATGCCCCTGCTTCCCCAGCTGCAAGACAGGCCGCAGCAACGTACAGTACAAGACACTGGATGGAGACTTTTAGGAAAACATGGAGAAGAAAGGAATAAGCGACCCCCACAAATTCTGAATGTTTCTTTTCCTTTCGCTTTTTTCCTGCTTCGGCTGCAGGGTGGCCTTCGCAGACCCTCAGGCTTTCCCCACGACTCGTGTGTGCCTGGAGAGGCCCGGCCACAATCCTGGGACGCTCCCAGCCGCGCTCTCCCTGCCAGCGGCAGTTCAGCCGTGCCTCGAGGTTTCCTTGTTCGCAGGCGGGCTTCTAATAGGGTTTCCGCGCCCTGGGCGGTCCGGGCGCAGTCACTGCGGCGAAAGCCTTCAGGTAGTGGCTGTTTTCGGGCCGGCCCAGGCCTGCGGCAGGCAGACCCCAGAAGCAGCGGTGCCCCTGCCGGCTGGGTGGCCCCGCGCTCCTGCGACCCTCCTCCAGATCCTGGGCACCAGGCTCACCTTGCTGCTCCCGGCAGAAGGAGTAGAAGCCCAGGGGCTCTCCCTCACTTCCCGGGGGAAAACTCGGCCTTAACCCACCCCTAAAAGGCTCCGAACACCCGCTGAGCAATCCCGGCCGCCCAGCCCGCACGCCCGGCCTCGCAGTCCCCTTCCAGGTGAGCGTTTTTCCCCTCCCCCCATCCCCACACCCGGCTCCGCGCCTGCCCATGCTCTCGTGGGGGGCGCGGGGGTCCACCTTACGCCGGTGGTCGTAGTCGCGGTACTCGGGTCTAGGAGCCCCAGAGGGAGGCCACTCTCCCACCCTCCCACCCCCTTTGACCCGTATGCCCCCTGACTCCCTGCGTCCCGCCCCGAACCCCGCACAGGCAGTGCCGCTCAAGCCCGCCCCAGCTCTTCTGTGCAGCCCCGTCCCCGGAGTCCTAACCCGAATCTGCAGCCCCACCTCCCCGGCCCTCCACACTCCGCGGGGCGGCCCGGCCTGCAGCCCCGCCCCCAGAAGCCCTCGCCAGCAGTGTAACCCCGCCCCCAGCCTCCTCCCGGGCAGTGTAGCCCCGCCCCATCCCTTCTCCCTCTAACGCCCTCCCCGGAGGTGCCCCATTCCCCTCCCCCAGGCCCCTCCGGGATAGTGCGGCCATGCCCCCAGGACCCCTTCCTGGCAGTGGAACCCCGCCCCCAGCACCCTCCCCGCAGGGTAGCCCCGTCCCATCTCCCCTCCCCGCGTCCCCTCCAAGGCAGTGTAACCCCGCCCCCAGCACCTCCCTGGCCCCTCCCCCGCAGTGTAGCACCGCCCTCAATCCCCCCCCACCTCCCCTCCCTGCTCTCCAGCCCGCCCCGCCCGCCCCGCCCCGGGCCGCTCACCCTGCCCTGGCGGTAGTAGTAGCTGTACTCCTTGGGGTCCTGGCGCCGCGGCGGGACGTAGCTGAAGGCGGACAGCGCGGAGATGGGCGGCGGCCGGGGCTTGCCCCGCAGCGTGGCGGCGGTGATCTCCTCCTCGTCGTCCTCCATCCGGCCGCAGTGCTAGGTCCCGCCCGCCGAGGGGCCCGGTCCCAGTCCGCCCGCCGCAGGCTGCCCGGCGCCCGCGTTCGGCCGTTGCCTGGAAACCGAGGGGGCGCAAAGCTAGGCTGGACTGCGGGGCGGGGAGGGGGTGGGGCCGACCCTCCCCCGCCCCCCCGGCACCTCTGTGCACACCCGGGTCTTTCTTTCTTGGAGCGTCGGGGGAGCCTCACCTGCTAAAACCGCTGCAGGGTTCCCGGGTGGGAGGCACCACTGGGATCCGCACTTTCCACCCTGCTTACCCTTCTCCACGCAGTGTCGGTTCGTTCACTCAGAGACCATTGTTCGCTGGGCAGTTAAATGACCTTGCACCTGCTGAGTGCCGGCGCTGGGGATGTAGCCTTGAACCACGCAGCCCTTGTCCACTGGGATCTGACAGACTGGTGACGAAGATAGGTGATAGGTGTGCAAACGCAAGTAACTTGAAGAGGGTCTGGGACAGTGCTGCTCAGTAAGAAGATAGAGAGGGCCGCGTGTGTAATGTAAAACTTTCTGGCAACCTTGCTCTCATCCTCCCCTGGGCAGAGGTCCTCATAAAAGCACCAGCAAAGGAAAAAAAAAAACAAAACCTCTTATAGTCTACTGCCACTTTCAACCTCTCCAATCTCTTTTAAAGACCGGATATAGGAGCTCAGCTAATGGTCAGGAGTCTTCACAAGCCTTGCACAGGTGATCTGATCTCACACTTTGCAAAATGGGAGCAGTCGACACCAATTATCTTGAGACCTCAGTTAAAAGTGAGACCGAAATCGTTTCATTGAAAAATCCTTTTCCACAGCTGTATGGACGTGCTTCTGTTAGCTTCGATTTCAATTTCAATTTGTTCTGCACCAGACTGACAGCTGCACAGGGCATGGTTGCACACATACACTCTCTCTGATGGCTCAAGTCTGGCACACAGTAGGTACTCAACAGATACTTGGTGACTCAGTATGGAATACAGCTGCCATAATGGCTTGTGTACCTTCTAAAGGTGAGTCTGAGACAAGGGCTTGGATGTTCTTGCTTTATTTGGGAGGTAATTCCAAGGAGCAGGCGGGAGGGACCAGAGGAGTGAGTGCAGCAGGGAAGTCTGTATAAGTCTGAATTCTCAAGGTCACCCCTGAGGGCAGCTGGAGCTCGACCTTGCCCAAGACTTTCTGAGGAGCCTGGAGCAGCCTCTCAGAACCACCTGCAGTTCAACATGAAGGCGCTTTTTATTTCTTGTTCCCAGTCCTCCTGGGGTGAGACTGCCTTCTGGTTTGTTCACTTCTGACTTTGTAGGACCCCTGCCCAATGCTGCCTAGGCTCCCTGTGGGTCTCCTCGGTGCCAGAGAAGCCCTGGGGCTGACAGTGACAGGTACAAGCCATCAACTTAAGGCGGCATGCTGCTGTCAGGAGGTGGGTGCAGCTCCATGGAACGGCCACCACCCTTGGGGTGGATTCAGATGTGAGGCTGAGAGGCTGCAGGGCGGGAAGCAGAGGTGGAGGATACGATAGGTAAGACCAACTTTGCCAGTTTCAATTATCAAGGGATTTGAGTTCCTTTATAAAATAACATTTTTCCTCTATGATCCTATTATGTATTCTGGGGACATGAGTGGAATCCAAGGTCAAAGAGTCTAATGTGTTTAAGTCCCTGTGTCTGTGACTTGTACTTGCAAAGTTCTGCGTGGGGGGAGGGAAGGATAAAAGAATGAAAACCCTGCTCTTAAAATAAGTGGGTTAATAGTACAAGAAGTCACGCTGAGTACAAGTTAACTCTGCAGGAGATCAGATCAGCTTTGTTTCACATGTTCAGGTCTACAGTCCTCCGCTCTACCAGCTGAGCTATCGAAGGGTGCACAGATGAGCTTTGTTTCAAATGCCAACCTCAGTAGTCTGGGATGTCTACCCCCCTAATCCCATGCCAGCCTCATGGATATACACCGGCGCCCGCAGCTGACGCTGGGTGATGACATTGCACTGGTCTGGCTTAGGTTGACATGGGCGTACTGACCGCTTACTGTTCATGCAGCCTGCTCTGCAGGTCCACCAGGGCCTCGGCTGCCTGCAGCTCCCCGCTGGATGACACACTGGAGGGCGGCCTCCACTGCAGAAACTCAGGCAGTTCATGGGAGCATTGGAGGCGCCTAGTCCAAACTGCAGCTGGGACTTGTCCCGTTTCTCTTGACCTCTGGGCAGAATGTAAGCAGGGGGAGACCTGGTAGGAAGAAGTTCTGTTAATTTGAGGCAGGGAAGGAGAAAGCTAATGCTGTGTGACATTAGCATGTCACGTCACATTAGCAGTGGTTTCAGCACATCTTGGGCGGTGTGTGTGTTATATTTATCATGAGTCCTCATGAGCCCACAGACTTGTTAAGTTCAGAAGAACCCTCTGGTTCTTTATGCTGATGAGAAAACTGAGATGTAGGTAGGATAAGTGACTTGATGCAGGTGACAGGGCAGTGGGTGCCACTCCTGAAAGGTGTATGGAATATCTGGAAAGGAGGGGCTGGTCTGAGGGAATGGTTTTCTCCTTTGGAGCCCTCAGACCATTCAGAGATGGGGCCACAGCCTGGACAAAGCACAAAGCTTTAGCCCGCGATTCTCAGCCAGCGCACTGACGCAGCCAAGGAACAAAGTGTCCAGATGGCCTCCTCTCCACCTTGTAAACCTTTGTTAACTGAGGTGGAGAGAGGGGGGAAAATCACCTATGAATACATGAAAATGCCAACATCTTTCTAAAAAATCTGTTGAAAATGCAGAAATTTTCAAACAAGGTTGATATCTCCATTTTAAGTTTGAAAGCTTTTACAATCATGTTATTTGTAAATGTCACTGTAAACTCATTTAAGTGGCCCAACATAATTGGACTTTAATTCACAGGCTTTAAAACAGCTTAAAATCCCTTGGATTAAGTACTCCTCTGCTTTTATGATGGTTCAGAGTTAAGAGGGGTGGATGGACAAACACACATATCCGTCACCGGCTAGGAGAACTGCCCGTCTGTGTACCCAGCAAACCTAAAGGTCATTATGAACTCAAGGGGTATGAAAGGGTGCTCCTGCTGCACCTTTTCCGGATCCCCCATCAGTGCTGTTTGACAGTGAGAGTAACTGCATGACCCTGGCTCCTGCGACAGGGGAGCCACTGCCCGTCCTCCAAAGCATCTCCACAGGCTCTGGGGCACGGGCAGTGGTCCGTGATGGGGTAACACGCCTTTACCTCACTCGACACCTCCTCCCTGGTAACGAGGCGTGAGTACTGCTGGTAGACTTAGAAAGCATGTTTGTCATCAGGTTTTTCCTGTAGGCTGCGTCACTCACTTGATGGAGTCCCTTGGAGTCACATTAAGCATCAAACTTATGAATCAAGACATATAAGTGCAAATTTAATTTTGGCTTGTTCACCTTGTCGATTTTGAAATCAAAATGAATGTGATTTTATAGATGCCCCCAATGAAAAACCCCCGATACCGACGGCTCTAGCAGTGAGCAAGACCACGTGCCAGAACCAGAGCTCCTTACAGAGGCTGGACCCCAGGGCTGAGACAGGAAATGGTAAGTGAGCCTGGGACATCCTCTTCTGCCGAGAAATTTTCAAAATCGAATGTGTCAAGGTCAAAAGGACAAAGAGGCCATCCTGAAGGGTATCCCACCGATCTAAAACAGGACAAGTTATGCATCCAAAAGATGACTGTAATGGGCTGAAGCACATCAAGTATATAAAATGTCATGAAGTCATAAATATCCTAAACAAACAAACAAAATACTGACCAGATAACCACCTCTGTATTCTAAACCTTGATACAAGGAAAGACACATTTATCTCATTTTCTTTTTCTGTATAAACCTTATCTTATTTTTATTGGAGTATAGTTAAGATGTTGTGTTAGTTTCTGCTGTACAGCAAAGTGAATCAGTTATACATATACATATCCACTCTTTTTTTAGATTCTTTTCCCATGTAGGTCATTACAGAGTTTTGAGTAGAGCTCCCTGTACTATACAGTAGGTCCTTATTAGTTATCTATTTTATACATAGTAGTGTGCGTGTGTCAATCCCAATCTCCCAATTTATCCCTCCCCCGCCTTTTCCCCTGAGTAACCATAAGTTTGTGTATAAACCTTATTTTAGAGTTCAAAAATAGTTGATGGGAGAAATTTCTTCTTTATAGATGAATACAAGTAAAGGAATAAAATAAAAGGATAATAAAAATAATACAAGTAAAGGAATGATAGCGTTAGGAAATCCTTTTTTTTAAACACCTGTTGGAATAATGAATCTAGGCAACAGTCATCAACAGATGCTGAAGCCATTAGGTGACAGGTTGACGGGGACTATATGGTGGATGGATCAGGCTGGTGGTGATCCAGGAACCCGCTATCAATCTTAATGAGTATCACTAAGAGGGTAACGAGACATTACGGTATGATGTAAAACAAATACACAGCATCTCCTCTGAAGCATCCTTGCTGAAAAAATTAAGCTGAATCTAAGCAAGCCTCTGGATGTAACTTTTAGTTTAACAGGAAATATAGCAAAGGAACCAGTTAGAAAATGTCAAATCAATACTGTGGGATATTTTACAAGGTAATTGATCTAACTTCTCCAATAAATTAATAACATGGAAACCAGGTGAGGGAGGGGGACAGTTACAGACATGAGACTTAAGACTTAGGGGTATAACATCTAAAAGTAGTATGTGGCCTTTGTTCAGATCCTGCTTCAAACAAATCAACAGTTAAAAAATATTTCTGAGAGAAAGACATATACCATATGATACCACATATGTGGAATCTAAAATATTGCACAAATGAATCCATCTATGAAACAGGAACAGACTCACAGACGTAGAAAACAGACTTGTGGTTGCCAAGGGGGAGTCTGGGGTTAGTAGATGCAAACTATTACATATAGAGTGAATAAACAACAAGGTCCTACTGTATAGCATAGGGAACTATATTCAATATCCTGGGATAAACCATAATGGAAAAGAATATAAAAAAGAATGTATATATATGTATAACTGAGTCACTTGGCTGTACTGAAGAAATTAACACAACATTGTAAATCAACTATACTTCAATAAAAAAAATTTAAAAAATATTCCTGAGACAGTATAGAAAACCTGGAATATAGACCAGGTATTAAATGATCACAGGTAATAATTATTAGTTTTAGGCTTCCCTGGTGGCGCAGTGGTTGAGAGTCTGCCTGCCAATGCAGGGGACACGGGTTCGTGCCCCGCTCCGGGAAGATCCCACATGCCGCAGAGCGGCTAGGCCCGTGAGCCATGGCCACTGAGCCTGCGTGTCTGGAGCCTGTGCTCCACAACGGGAGAGGCCACAACAGTGAGAGGCCCGCATACCGCAAAAAAAAAAAAAAAAATTATTAGTTTTGTTCATTGTAATAATGGCAGAATAGTTAAATAAAAAAGAAAAAAGTTTTTTGGTTATGGATTCATACTGAAGTATTTAGGATAAAAGTATATGATAGCTTGGATTTTTAAAGAAACATTCCAATAAAAAAGGAAAAGAAAAAAAAGAATATGGGAGTAAATAGATGAAACAGAATTGGAAAATTTGGGTATTTTGCCATGCTGAATAAAGGGACTCATGTGAATTCATTATACTATTCTTTCTACACTTAATGTGTGTTCAGTGTTTTCCATAATAAAATTTACAGTAGAATTACTGAGATATTGTTTATTGCAAACATTAGAACCCAGAATATTAGTTCAAGACACAAATAGTGTGCCCTATATACCAGAGACTGTGGGAAGAGATGTTTAGATTTTTTCTGAGATGGGATTTCAAGTATATTAAGGCAAAATTTCTTATGATGGAGCCAACAGCCAAAGAACACCAACAAAAGGTAAGGCTTATTGACTACAAAGGCAAGGGAGCCGGCACACCAGAGGAACCAGGCAGAGGGATGACAGGATGGGTAGAGGATTTGGGTGAAATTGAACAAAGCTGGGTTGGAGATGCAGAGAGCAAGCTTGTGTGTAAGAGAACTAACATGAGGCCTGGCCTGAGAAGACGACCCAGGATGCTCAAAGATAAGAAAAAGGTAAGGGGGTTTGTGTCCCAAACCCTCTATCTGAAGCTCTGCATCGTCTTGGAAATCAAGGCTGCTTCTCTGCACCAGAATGACCCAGGAGGCTCAGATCCTGCAGGCAACAGAGGTGTGTTCCATTCTTATTACAGCAAAGGTTTTACAGAATGAGGTTTCTCAGCAGGGTGTCTGTGATGCTAATTAGCAAAAGGGGTGGCCGCTGGTTCAAGCTGCTGCCCCAGGAGTCTTAACCGTCCAGGCAATGGTGCTCCTCCTTATAGAGCATCCCTGATGGGCTCCATCTCCACGAGCTGTAACAATGAAGTCTGACTGCAACGTAACTCTTGTACCAATGACAACAAGAGCCCTCATGGCTCGCTGAGCACTTACTGTTTTCCAGGTACTGGCCATACAGCTGACAAGGCACGACTTATTTCATGATCCTGAAACGGAGCAGGACCCTAAGAGGCCTTTCAGGGACAGTCCCCTCCCCCATGTCCTCTGCTGCAGTTCCTCTCCGAAGTACCCAGATAATAGATAATGGTATCTGATGCACGCTTCCTGAGTTGTTTTACAGATGCTAAAACCACCACTAAATGGAAGAAATTAACTACCTGATGACCATGAGAAGGAACCCCCAGACCTAACTGGCACCTGAGGACTGACAACATTAACCCCTGCGACACCACCCTGTTACCTCACCATCAACCAATCAGAGAATTGTGCACCAGCTGATCACAGATCCTGGGACACCCCCTCCCTCACTTGGCCTTTAAAAATGCTTTGCTGACCCCCATCGGGGGGTTCAGGCTTTCTGAGCACCAGCTGCCTGGACTCCTTGCCTGGTGCCTGCCATAGATGCTGCACTTTCCTTCACCACAGCCCCGTGTCAGGAGATTGGCTTTGCTGCACGTGGGTGGGCAGACCCAAGTTTGGTTTGGTAACAATCCGACACTATGTATTTAGACTCCAGGTGGGTCTGGATATGTTTCCAGTTTGGGGAAATCTCAGCTTTTGGAGGCTTATTCACCACCATGGTGCCAAGACCCCCTCCCTGAATTTGTGTACAAATTCATGGAAGGGTCCAGCTTTTTTAGAGGGAACTGACTTTTTACCCCCCAGAATTCTATCAAATATGCTCAGTTCTGCTCCTTCCTATTCTTTCTTCTACCTAATGAATATTTACCAAGTCTCCAAATGCACCCAGGTGTACAGAGTCAGCAGGTAGAATCCTGGTCAAAGAACCAACCAGCATCTCTTCATCCCAAGATACCATCTACCCTCCCTGTCTAGGCTTGGTTCAGCCAAACAGCATTCCTTCTTTAGGTCAAGGTATGGAAAATTGCCTGTTTTGTTCAGGCAGAACTGTCACCGCACCATTCCACAGCTCCAGCCTGCCGCCCCCCTCCCTTCCCCACGCCAACAGGCGCGCAGGATACACTCTCTCCTCCTGGGACCAGGGATCATCTCGGTTCCACTGCTGAAGCCCAATAGATGTCCTCACCTTTGCTGCCCTCTCGCGGCTGGTCTGAAGATGATCACTGTTGCTTCAGGGGTTATGCTCGCAAGTTAAATTTTTTTCACCTATTTTTCTTTCTTTGCTTTACTTTTTTTCCTTGCTTTGCTTTTACTTTTAAAAAACAACATCAAGAGTATGTCTTATTTAAAAACATTATTAATATATGGTGCCAGGAGTTATCATACTGTATATGTAATTTCAACAAGGAAATTCACGTCATATTTACTTACATAGGTAGACATTAAAATATTAGTGGCCTGAGGATTCAGTTTATAAGGACATATGGCTGTATAATCTTACGGAGCTTGCCAAATTTACTCCAATTGGTGAAATCAGCACTCTTGTATCTGTTTATTAGCCTAAACTATTTTCATAGCATATCTATGCACATTTTCAGGATTAAAATTTGCTTTAAAACAAAGTCAGTTCTGGCCTCACTCTCCATGGCGACCGTCTGCTTTGTGCTGGGTGCTCTGGCCATGGCGATGCCTGAAATGCTCTCCCACCAGAGACCTGCCTCCCTTTCTTTGAATTCAGCTCACAGATCACTCCAAGAAGCCTCCTGCTGCACCCCAGGCTGGCCTAACGTCTTCTGCCTTCCAGGGTCCTGCTCATGCATCAGGACTGCCAGCTGGCTCATCACTATAATCACCCATAGCCCCTCCAGGCAGGAGCTCTTTTCTGCTTCCCTCTGCAGCTCTAACAGTCAGTGGGTACCCAGCCATGATCACAGCTCTTTAATAAATGTTTAATGAATGAATTAATGAAGAGGGTAAGGGAGAGCTAAATGAGACAAAGGCTCAGGAGAGGATGTAACTAAAAGTGCAGAAGAAGGAGCATCTCATTCCAATTAGGGCAACCAGGAACAAAAGTCCCGATGGAGAAGGATTTAGATAAATGGAAAAGGCGGAGGAAGAAGGTTTTAGGCTATACTGTTTTTTTCATAGCATTTATAACAGACTGCTCTTACCTCTTTGTGTGGCTATTTAAGTCTATGTAATCAAGTCTCCATAAAAACCCAAAAGGACCAGATTCAGAGCTTCCAGGTTGGTGAACAGGTGGAGTTTAGGGGAGAGTGCTGCCTGGAGAGGGCAAGGAAACCCCACACCCTTCCCCATACCTGCCCCTAAGAGTGTCTTTCATCTGGCTTTCCTGAGTTATATCCTTTTGTAATAAACTAGTAATCTGGTAGGTAAAATGTTTCTCTGAGTTCTATGAGCTGCTCTAACAAATTAACAGAGCCCAAGGAGGGGGTCACTGGACCCCCCAATCTATAGCTGGTTGGTCAGAAGCACAGGTCATGTGACAACCTGGACTTGTGACTGGCATCTGAAAGGGGGGTGGTGGGAAGCGGGCAGTCTTGTGGGACTGAGCCCTCAACGTGTGGGAGCTGGTGCTGCCTCCAGGTAGATGGTGTCAGAATGGAGTTGAATTGCAGGCCCCCAGCTGGTGTTGGAGCATTGCTGAGTGCTGTGTGGGACACCCACACCCCGCCCCCTTGGCCAACGCGTACACTGTAGTTGGGTGCAGAACCCTTTTATCCCGAAACTTTAACTTGACCATAATGGGACAATGAAGCATCTGCAATGAACTAAAGAATTTTAATCCATGCTTAATTTAAAATTTAGAAGTTTCTCCCTCCAAACACCCCCCCAAAACCCTACTTAAGTTGCTTTTTTTACATCTTTATTCCTTTATTTAAAAAATTATAATATATATGTGTATGTGTATATATATATATATCTATATAAAGCTCCTATACCGATACAAAATATTATTAACTAAAGGGTTATTTTTGCATAAGTCTACAGTTATAAATGTTTACATCCAAAGTACTAGTCTATTTTTCATTGCTCCTTTTCCTTACCATATATTACTTCCTCTAACAAAATACAAAAGAAAAAACCGGGAGATAAAATTTCTTCCTTATATTTGTTAGAAGAAGAAACAAAGGTCTCTCAAGAATATATTTTCAGTTAGCAATAACTGTCACAAAACACAAGACTTAAAATTATGACACTTACTCATTACATTCCTTTATTGTACTTGATCAATTCTGTTTGATGTATAAAAGTATCTGATACCAGTATTAAATGAAGGTTAAAATTAATTTTAAATTTGCTACTGATAAGCGTATACATGGTATAAGGAAACTAGAGACCCCTTTCAGATCACCAAAGTACATAAATAAACGGCTAATTTGCAAGTTCTTTCACTATTTGAGTTCTGAAGTCAGTATTCATTCTTGTTACCAGTGACCACCAGAGTTTTGAGAAAATAGTTTTCTTTGTAAATATTCCACTAATTCAATTCTTGATTTTAGCATCTCAATCTCGTAATAGGGAATCTGTAAAGAGAGGAAAATAAATCCATCCTCATCCTTCATAATCTGAAATTACCTTGGGTTTGGTTACCCTTTCTGCCTACCACACCCTCCCCACAGCAGCGTGTAGGCTCCCCGCAGGCAGAGATCCCAGCGGTGCCTGTGACGGTGCTGCCAGGTAGCAGAGGCTCAACAATAGGTAGAATGTCTAAATAAGAATCAGACATGATCCCTGCCCTCAAGGAACTTACAAGTTAGGTGCTAACTTAAAATATACAAAAAGTAGGCAGTAATACTAAGCAGAACATGCAAAACAAATTGGTGCTCTAGTGCTGAGAGGGAGTCGACACTTCAGATTAGGGTGAAAGGCCAACCTGAGCTGGGAGTTGATGAACAGCCAGAATTTAGACACTCAGAGAGGTGGGGACCACCTGACTCGCATCAGCAAGGGAGAAAGGCCAGACAGAAGAGACCACTGAGCTGGGAGCAGAGGGCCTGGCTGCGGGCAGACCTCGAAGGGTCTAGAATGTTGAGATATAGATGTAGTCTTTATCCCATAAGCAGTAAAGCAACAATGAAGGTTTCTAGGCACACACTGGCACGATTCACTTTAGGAAAATTAATCTGGGTATGTACAAGACGGAAAGGAAAAAAGTAACCAGACAGGAAAGCAGAGAGGAGACTGGTAGACAGCTTAGAGAATGGAAAGCTCCATGGACATTCATCACGGCTCATCACCTAAGACCTTGCTAAGTGATCTACGATGTAAATACAAATAAGAGTCTTAAACATTAAAAACCAATGAAGATCCTGCTTTTAATGGGTCATCTTGTACATTCTCATCATTAAATCAAAGGGAAATTAAAACAAAACAGATATTCCAATATTTAGTAATTCTAAAAGCAAAGTAAAGCACAGCTCATACAGAATTTAGGTATGTCTCACTTTTGGAAAAGAGAAAATTTGAAATTCGTGATTTCAAATTACAAATCAAGAGACTTAAGCCTAATGAACAAAGCTGGCATTTAAACCAGACTTAAGAGGCTTGGTCCACTGGGCTGGCATACTACTTAGTATCCTGGAAAAAGCAAATCTGAACTAGAAATGGCTTTTAGGAAAAAAAAAAAAAAAGGCAAAACCATACCTGGACAACTTGATAACCAAGTAAGTACAGATGTCTTTGTTTAGTAGCTTCCTTTCCCAGTAAGTGTTTGCTATTCAAACAAAATCTTTTTGGACCATCAATGCACAGTGCTACCCTAAAAAAACAAAGAGGAGAGGGAAACTTAATTTTTAAAACAATCTGAAGTATTTATATGGTTTTAGCTGCCAGAGTTTATTTGGGATTTGGCTATTCCTTCGTGCCAATACTATTTTCAAATGAATCATGACTGTTATCCATTAATCTGTTGAAAAAGAACTCAACTTAATTAAATTAAGGTTCACAAGATATTACATGGAATTTCCAAAACTGGTATGCCATAGTGTTTTAATTTTCAGAAGCATGTCTACTTTTTTCACTTTCTTAAGAAAACAATCCCTGTGTATTAACCTCAACAAGTCTTATAACATATAAACCACAACAGTTTTCTTTACCTTTTATGTATATCTTCATCAACTGTAAATGGTAATACAAATCCATCTTCATCTAATTTAATTTCAACATCTGGTAAGAGAAGAAAGGAAAAATTCTTCGTGTGATACCCTCACAAACACTAGCTTCCTTTTCTCCTTGTTGTTTTGATTTCTTCCATACTGCATTTATCAACTGGGCAGAAGGCTGCAAAGTAATGACCACACCAGACAATGGTGAGAATTTTAATTTAATCAGAGCTTTGCCCAACCAAGTCAGCTTTAAACTAAGAGGGCCTTCACTGCACTAAAACAAGGAGGGGGCCCTTAAGGTATCTGGGGCATGATGTGAATCACACACACTTTTACTCTCCTTATAACAACTGGTGGGAATAGTGAAGAAAATCCTTTGAGTAAAGTCAGACACCTGCGCAACTGGCACCTTGCATCCCTGGAGCTCCAGTGCCCAGGGAAGGTGAAGCAGCCGGCAGCCCAACACGTGGGCCCTGGGCGCCGGCAGGCTCCCCCTTCCTTCCTTGTTAAAGGAGCCCATAAAGGAGGGGAGTGAGATGTGACCACCTGAAGCCTAGAAACACTGTCCTCCCTGAGCTCACTGTCCTTTACTCATCAATTTGAAAGGAGAAGGACTTTGTAGTCAGCGCTGTCCGCGATGATGCAGACGCTTATACCTGCTACTGAGCACTTCAAGTGCAGCTAGTGCAACTGGGGACCTGAACTGTGAATTTTCAAAATTGGAATTAATTTAAATTTAAGTAGCTACTGGTATGTGTGGCTATTACATTGGACTGCACTGGCCAAGAGGATGAGAGCAGCTAACAATTACTGAGCACTTACTGTCTCCCAGGTATTAGTCTGAGTTACCTCATTTTGTCCTTAAACAAGTCTTTGAGGTCACTACTCCTCTTACTCTCATCTTGCAGATGAGAACAAGCAAATGAATGCCCCGAAAGGATGCCCAAAGGCATTCGGCTACTATGTGGCTAACATAGAGTCCTGACTCTTCAGCCCTACCGTCCACCCCTGTTCCAATTTGCCTTCAGGGAAGGGCCAACTTCATTTTGTTTCCAGACCTTTGGTGGCTACTAAGCCCCACGTGTTCCATCAGAGGACAGCACACTGAGGTTTAGTTAACAACAACAAAACTCCCTACTACTTACCTATCGTGTAACAATAGGGTGTTAACACTTTTGAAGCAAAATACAATCTTGCTCCTAAAAGGTCAATCAGTCCAACCATCACAGATTTATAAAGCTGAAAATCCATGGGGGTCTCCAGGGAAGAGCACGGAGTAAGAAATGATTTCACTTGATATTTAGGAAGAAGTTTTGGACCCTAAAAATGTATGTGCAAACATGAGAAAGAAAAATAAGATACAAAATCAGAGAATAAAATGAAGGTTGCCTGAGTATAAAAGTCTGATCCAATATTACTTTATAGGCATGATGCTTCTCCAGGACTTAGGACAAATACCTTTCTCAAAATGACAACGCCAAATATTCTTGTTATAGTTCAAGCCCAATAGTCCAAAATATCTTTTAAATGTGTTTAAATGTAGCCAATGGTCACTGAAAGAAAGAAAGATAGAAAGAAAGAAAGAAAGAAAGAAGGAAAGAAAGCTCAAGAAACATCTTTGGAACTCTCAGAATTGCTTTAAGGGCCTTGAGGAAACACAGCTGAAGTTTTTAATAGTGGAAATTGTAATAAAGCTGACATTTCAATTTAGAAAGAAAAGGACAGCTATGTAATAATGGTGCTAGCAATTGGTTATCCATCTGGAAAAGAACTAAGAGTTCTGCCCCACATTACAGACTATAATCTATTTCAAGTAGATTAAAGATCTAAATATAGTATGGAAAACAATATTTTTTAAATTTAGTAAAATATTTATATTACCTTAGGAGTCATAAAATATTCCTAAACAATACCCAGCAGCTATAAAAAATGAATAATTTGACTACAGAAAACTTAAAAATTTCTGTATAGCAAAAAGGCATCATAAACAATATTAAATTAAAACTAAAAAAATTTTAAACCACAAACCAGGAAGAAATATGTACAACGTACTTAACAGTTAATATGTTTTACAATGTGTTCTAGGACAAAAAACAAATACAAAAGAGAAAGACAAAAAACCCTACACAAATAGAAATTAAGGTGTAACAAGGCAATTCATAGCAAATGTAAGTGACCAATAAACATGTGAAAATATGCTCAACTTCATTATCGCTCGTTAAAGTGCAACGGAAGCATGTGACTTGATATTTCACTGAGTCAAATGACAAAATTAAAGGGACTAAGAACACACCGCAACACAAATGGGGACACGTGGTCACCTTCATTCACTGCTGGTGAAATATGGCATCTACAACTATACGGGAAAAAAAAATGTCAGTCTATTGAAAATTAATCCAGTAATCCCACATTCAGGAATCTAGTCTTTAGATTAAAACAACAAAAAGGTTCCAGTATGACAGGATATGTAAGTATGTTTATGACAGCATGGCTGATCAAGACAAGCGTTTGAAAAAGCCTGAAAATCCATCAATGGTGGGACAGTAGAATAAATACCGTGAAATATCAGACCATTCTTTAAAAGTATACATTTGATCTTTACCTGTTACCCCCGAAGAATGTCCATGATATACTGGGAATAAAAGCAAATTGTAGTTTGAATAGTCCCATTCCATGAAAAGAGAGAAACTAGATGGTGTTTATGAGCTACTCATAAACATGGTTCAGTCAAGTACGGAGAACAGGCAGGAATGAGCAAGCTGGAGGTACCATTTCTGATCCTAAACAACGTGCCTGATTAAGTTAGGAGAATGAATCCTTAGAAAGCTTTATACAAAGCTCGAACTCCATGTAAACTGAATTCTATCACGTCAGAGTGAAACTTCTGCTTGGTTTAAGAACATACTCAGTAATGATTCAGGATCTATTCAGTGCATAAATTCACACCTCTATATCCAACAGCCATGGGGAATGCTAAAGCCCTTTAAAATCCCTAGAGAAAGTCTAAGAGCACTAAGACTCATAAGCCTGCCATGCTTGATAAAACCTTCTAAGAATCTTACACGGTACGAAGTGGGTCTTTCAAGGACAAGAACACAGGAATAGGGTCAACTTATTAGAGAAAAGGCTATCTGGTGGTAACTACTCCAAGTGAATGAAAATTCTGCTTTCTAATGAGGTTACTGAGACAGCTCAAAAGAGAAGGAACTTAAAAGATTCGGGAGCGGGGGAGGTGCTGGAGAGGAAGGAGGAGGCAAAAGAATACCATCCCTGTAGGGAAATAAAGCAATGCAGCTCATGCTTTTACCTTATAGAACGGGCATTCTAGAATCGCGGTTAAGAAAAGTTGGGTCAGTTGTGCTAGGCTCAGTCTGTCCAAATAGGACTCTTCACCTGAAATAAAAAGCATCCCAGTCATAGTTAAGCTTGAACTTTGGTGTGTGTAATAAGAGAAAAGAATATCCAGAATGCACATTAATTAATTCACTCCAGTAAGGGACTTTTAAATGGACACTAGGAAAAGAACTTGTTAGAATTAATTATACCTTCTTGCCTCCCATCTCAATGAAATCTCATTTTGGCTTCCAAGAACGCATGATCCTAACTAGAGAATATAATTAAAAGTGACAAATGTATGTTAGTAGAATTTGTAGGAATTTCCTTTACCTACGGAGATCTAGATTCCGGCATATTTGGGTGGCTTTGAATTAAGATGAACATCTTCTCAAAAAAAAGGAGTGATACAGTTGTTCTCATCAAAGACGCTAACATGTAATTGTGACACTGCCTCAGCCATCACCAGATCCCTGCAAGAAGACTCAGTTTCTCAGCTAGGGCAGCAGAGTCTGTTTACCCGGAACTGTTTTCTCTCTCCATGCAATGTTCTAGCATTCTTTAATTCTGTGTTTATAATAGCATCTGCAGCTTCAGATTTCTTCGTTAGATCGTTATGGAAGAAAAAATAAAGGCAAAGAAAGCACTGCTCAATAAAAAAGGTACATACGTGACTTGAAAACATCACAAGTTCAAACGCTAAGTTTTCTACTTTCAGAAGTAATAACCAACTCACCTTGCAGCTGCTGAAGAAAATACGGGCTGAATATTTTGGCCATAAAGTTGACTGGATGGCATTCAATAAGTGAACATGAATGGAGAAGTTTCAATAGTGTTTTGGGTGGAAAATAATTGAAACGAGTGAACAGTATGTTTTCTAGCTTCCTAAATAAAGCAGAGGCATTTGGTGGCAAATAATTGAGTTTTCCAAATGGTTCAATTAACTCAGCAGTTTGATTAGGTGAAAATTTTTCTGACTGACAAACAAAAGTTTCTGCCACTGCATTGAGGATGGGTTTTGAAAAAATCAGCTTTCTACTGCAATACTCCATGACTTTGCTGACAACCTCAGGATCCAGAGTGAGACAGAGGGAAGCAACATGTTGCTCTAGGGCTTCTGTAAAAAATCTGTCATTGTACCCAAAGTAGATGAATGCCTCTAAGACTTCTTTGAGCTCTTCATTAGTGAAATGGGGGATATGCCTCACAACATATTTACCCAATTTTATAACCAGCGTAAGTGCCTGAGTTTGATCAAGGACCACCAGGGCGGTGAGCATTTGGCTCAACAACTTAGGACTCAGGTTGGGAACTACTGACAGAGAAAAGTTATTTATCTTATGTAAAAACGTCTGGTCAACTTTTTCAGGACATGCCTGCAGTATTCTGTAAAGGGTCACAATATCCTCGGGGGTAAATTCTTCCAAATTTTCACCTTGCAGTTGATATATAATCAGGTCTAGTGTCGAACAACCTGGACCTTGCAGTTTAATCAGACATTCCCCCAGGATACAAAGACTGTGAATGTCCAGGCTACCCATTTCGAGACGATGCTGGCACTCTGCCAGGAGGCTTAGCAGCAAGCGACTTTGGGGATCCACATACAGGGTCAGGGCTTGCAAAGCAGTCACCAAACCCGTGTTTGACAGGTTTGAGGGGTCCTGTGCAAACTGATTACACAAAGTTTGAAAGGCGCTATTCTCCAGTATTTCTTTTGGCAACCTTTGATCATCATCTTTTTTTTCCATTTCACAAATCCGATGTAAGGCTCCTGCTGCCATAGTATCAGGCAAAGTCTGCAGTGTGCTTATATAATGCAAGACTTCTTCCGATGAAGTGAAGCTGTTTAGTCTCCTGTAAAATATCTGTTCATCCACATTTTTAACACTGTGTTCAGACCTGTCCCCAGCGTGTGCTTGAGAGAACGCTGGCTCGCCAACTGGATGAAGGTCATTTCCATTTTCTGAATGGAACTTTTTAGAATGGGCATGATGGAACCTGACCCTAACAGGCTCAAGTTGCAGTGACCAGAACCATGGACACAGATGCTCCTTGACTGTCTTGTGAACACAATTTACACGTTGAGTTTTCAGACCAGCCAGAGTTCCATGTATCCGAAAATCAGATAAATGACAAAGGTTCCTCCGCAAGGTAATTAAAGCCATGCCACCAGACTCTCAACTCCTCTTGATTTATAACTATGTTAAAAGAACAAAAATAACACGGTCAAATATACTAGAACACAGTTTATTCAACATCAATGCTTATGGAACTAAGGATGAGTACCCCAAAACGAATGATTCCCACTAAACATTTCCCACTCAAACAGAAGTACCAGAAGAGCAGCGTCTCTGCACCCTAGAGCTTAGAACAGCGGCTGGATCTCGTAATAATCGCTCTCATTTGCCAGGCAATGCTGTACTTAATTCTCCCAACAACACAACGAATTAAATACTTCGATGTCATTTTAGAAACGAGGGAACTTAAGTACAAAGATGTCACGTGGTCCAGTTTACACAGCTATTAAGGGGCAGAGCTACGCTTCAACTCAGGTAGTCTGCATCCTAAGTACGCCTCCTATGTGTTGGTTGATGGGAGGAATTGCGTTTAGTTCAACTTCCCCAAAAGAGGCAACGGGTAAAGTGGCCATTAATTCGGATGGGTCAAAGCAAGGGTGAAAAAAGCGCTTAAAGGGCCTTGAGGTGTTGGTTTCCCCTCAGTTAGGATCTTGTTCCAGGACTAAGGAACAAGGAGGTCTAGCTTGACAGATGGGAAGAAAGAAATGTCAGTATAATAAAAAAAGACGCTGGTCAACGACGGGGTAAGGTGGGTGGCGCGCCCACACCTGAACACCCCCGCTGTGGAACCTGGGAACACGAGTGCGCGGGACGGGAAGGACGGGGGACCCCGGGGACCGCGTCCTCCCTGGAGGGAAAGGACCCCACGGGCCGGGCGCCCCCCTAAACCGCCGGGAGCGGCGCCCGAAGAGCGGGGCGAGCCAGCGAGCGCGGGCGCCTTAGCGAAGCCGCGGGCCACGCACACCGGGCCGGAACAACCGAGCCCAAACCCGGCGTGGACACCTACCTGACTCGGCTCGCTGGGGGACCCAGGGCACAGCAGCCTCTTGGAGCCCCGTACGCGCACGCCGCACTGGGGCCCAGCGCTTCGGCGCCTGCGCCTGGAGAGGAGCCGCCCCACGTCTGGCGCGCCGTGATTGGCCCAGCTCCTTTCCCGAGCTTCCTATTGGTCTCGGGCGCCGACTGTGTGCGCAGGCGCGGGAGCAGGCGTCGTGGTACCTGCGCTTTCCCCAGCGTCTCCGCCGGACCCCGGCAGGTGAGGACAAGGGGGCTGCAGCTTCCAGATGTGGGCGCCCGCCCAGCACGGGACTGAGGGTGGGCGGCTTGGGGTCGGCGAGGGGACCGGCTTCCGCGTCCCTCCCCCAGGCGGGCTGGGCGCTTGCGGGTCGGTCAGGACCCCGGCCCCTCGTGGCTGCGGGCGGCGCGCGCGGAGGGCGGGCTGCGCCGGGGACTCGGCCTTGAGGCCTCCCACTGCCTCTGGGAGCTGGTGCTCGGCGGCGCCGCGGCGTTTGCACAGCGGAGCCGGTCCCGCAGGTCCCTGTGGGCCCTTCCTCCGTCGGCACTTTTCTAGACGGGGTCAAAGGGCACATTCGGGCGCATGGTCAGGCGAGGGCGTCCGGACGGGGCGCCGGAGGGTCAGGAATGTTGGGAGCGCGGACCCGGCCGGACGCAGGCTCATGCTCCGCTGTTTCTCCGCCGGACCTTGTCCTGCGGGTGCCGGCGAGCCGCCCCCGAGAATTGCGGGGTGCAGTAGAGGCTCTACGAGGTCGTTGTGGGGCTGAGGGGCTCATTCTCTGAAGCTCCTAGGATCGTGCGTGGCTCCTGGGAAGTGCTCCGGGTCCTTAGCTATGATAATAAGCGGTGCCGTTTCCATCAACCGTTGTTTTCGTCGGGTGGCTGTGGTCATCGTCCCCGCTCTGAAGGTGTGGGAGCTGAGCCACCGGTCAGTTGAGAAGCTGGCCTAAAGTTCTGCTCTTGTGAGTGATCCATCGTGGCTGGATTCAAGCCCCAGTAGTCTGGCCCCAGAGTGTGATTTGTGTGCCGCGGAATTCGAGCTTCATACCTTGTATCCTCCTTGGTTTAATGAATTCTCTCTTTTCAACCTTTAGAATTAATGCTAACAAACAAACTTAGGAGTATATTTCGTATTATCTGTGGATATTGTTGCAGTTATTTTAAATTAAGAGAATTCATACCTGCAGGTTGATTACTACTTCATTAAAAGGGAAATCCCTTTTTCCCTTTTCTGTTTGTCAGTGTAACTGTCACAGCTGTAGCAGATGCTTTGAAGTGATGAGGTTTTTGTTACTCTATGCTACACAGAGAGGACAGGCAAAGGCCATAGCCGAAGAAATAAGTGAAAAAGCAGTTGCATATGGTTTTTCTGCAGATCTTCACTGTATTAGTGAGTCTCATAAGGTAAGTCATGGTTTTTACGGGGTTTCATACTTCGAAGTATTCTGGTTGGGAAGCGACGTTAAACAACGAAGTGGGACGCTGAATGCCACCATGATCCTTTTTTTTTTTTTTAACACTTAGAAATTTATTTTATCAACTGTGTTGCAAGATTCCTGCCAGTTTTTTTCTACGTGTGTGTGTGTGTGTGTTTTGAATTAAACTACATAGTCTTAAAAACTAAGACAAATAACTACTCTCAACTGTAAATGGGAGTAGTAGTATTCGCCTTGTTTTTCTCACGGGGTGCCTGGAGTTGTGCGTGTTCACAGGAACATGGGAGCTTTCCACCTCACGAATCCTGCTGCCCCATTTGTAACTTCCCTGAAATTCATGCCAGAGTTCCTCCAAGTGAAGAACCATTGAATTCTTTGGTGAAATAGAAGTTAAAGTGGAGGTGTAAGGATCTGCAGAAGACTTGGGACTGCTTGTTTTTATCACGTTCAGTCTCTGCAGAAGTTCCCACCTTAGGATACGTGAGATCGTAACAGATCTGTGCCCAGACTAACTGGTTTGATTGAGACCCTCAGATTATAGTTTCATACAGTTCAGGCCCTAGCAACGAGCAGGGGCTCCTCCCTAATACCACACAGTGATGTGCCAGCCACTAAGCCCTCGAATTCAGCTCTGTACTTGAAAACCCACCCCTGCAGTGCACTCTCAAGTTCACAACCTCCTCTGGTCCCTCCCGCATCTCTAGTTGTAAAGACTAGCCTGTCAGCAGCAGAGGTGAATTATAAACTCAGTGCATAGCAGGGAAACCATCAAGTTCCTTGATGCAGCAGGGCTAGGGTGGCCCCGATGGAGTCAGTCACCCAGCAGGGAGGGTCCTGGGGGACACCAGCAATCACAGGCTCCGTGATTCTACAGCATCTTCAAAGTGAATTCACATTGCTGCTGCCACAGGGTGGAGTACAGTCTGTATCTGTTACTACAAAGTCATCAGCATCATATAACCAGCCCTGGTTTGGCCCCCTCACCAGTGACCCCATTGGGGTCAGCAGCTATTTGAAAGTTAGGTGAGTAGTGAATTTTTTTGCTGCCGCCATAGTCATGTTGTTTGCTGTTCCCAGCTGAGTGATTTCTCCAGTTGACAGCTCTGCTTCCTAGATCATGGTAGTCTTTTTCAAACTAAAGTGACTTTAAACTGCATGGAGTTGTGCTGTGTCCTATAAGCATGGTAAAATGTTAGCTCAAGTCTTTACCTGTTATATCAGCATGAAAAATAAAGTGATGAATTCCTTTGTGCCAAGTTAGATGATATTCTTGAGCAGAGCTCATGGAGTCGATACGAATAGAGACAGGCAAGTGCTTTATTGGAAATACTTAGATTTAGTTGAGAATTAGAATAAGGAAACTTGGTTTGTAAGACTCGGAAACACTGATGATCTCAGTTTACCACTGATGATATTCTCGGCTCTCTGGAACCCTGAGGGAGTCGGGCCCTTCCTGACAGCCAGGTTTCCTGATTTCTGAGGAGTAACACTTTCTTTGCCAACTTTAAAATGCTCTGTGTACCTCTCTGCTGTTATGCAATACAGACAACAAGACGGAAAATTAACCTGATTGCTTTGCTGATGTGTTAAGTCAAAAATACATATAGTAATAGATCTCTGACATGACACCCTTATTTTATAGTATGATCTGAAAACTGAAACAGCGCCTCTTGTGGTGGTGGTTTCTACCACGGGCGACGGAGACCTGCCAGACACAGCCCGCAAGTTTGTTAAAGCCATACAGGACAAGACACTGCCGGGTGACTTCTTTGCTCACCTGTGGTATGGATTACTAGGTGTGGACTGTATTTTGTGCACTTACTGTACTGTTGCTGCTGGATTTAACTCTAGTATCTAAATGTATCTTTCAAAGCCATGGTGTATAATTGCCTGGGTTTTGTCCTTTTTGGGTTTTTATATAAATACTTTATGTATGTATAATATTCGAATGTAAATAAGGTGCTGTTTCCCCAGTCTTCACCCCACAGCAGCTCCTCTGCAGAGCCCCTGAGTAGCACCTTAACCCCAGGCACACACCAGATTCAACCAGGAAATATTTTCACGATGTTAGTGGCCAGGCCCCACCCTAAACCTGCCAGAACAGAATCCCTGAAGGAGCGACCTGGCATGCTGGTGCTTTTTGGCGTTGTTGTTGTTGTTTTAAAGCTCTCAGGTGGGTGTGATAGTTTCCCTAGGGGAAGACCCATTCCCCTAGGATGTGGTTCTCAAGCCTGGCCATGCACTGGGATCTGCTGGGGGAGTTTTCCTTCCAATTCCATTATTTTGAGCCCCCCTCCAGTGATTCTGACTTAATTGTTCTGAGGTAGGGTCCTGGTATCAGTATTTTTTAAAGCTCCCAGGGGACTCTAATATGTATCCCAGCTTAAGAAGCACTGGCCTAGGGCTCTGTGAAGTATAGGTTTAAAATATTAAAGGATCAGAGGACCAGCTCAGCAAGATAGGACACGAGAGAGGGAATTCAGGGTCCATTTGCCTGGTTTGTGATCTGTATTCACCTTTGAGAACTAGTTTGGGGAAGGTATCTAGGAAGGATGGAATGTGCTATGATAAATAATTGGTTAGAGATTTGAGGTTGTGACCCTGGCCAAGATCTGTCGTGTAATGTATTCAAGAGAGCATCTTAGAGTGTTCACATCTTTTTAATTTGTTTTTTTCCAGTTTCTTTATTTTCAAGAGTGGACCTGTACATATTGCTTTAAAAATTCCTCCAAAAATTATTTAAAAGGAAACACTGAAGCTTATCCAACCGTTTTAGTCAGTCTTAGGCCCATATATGGACCCACCAATTGCTTACCTCATTCTTGTAGGAAAAATCCAGGAAGACAATTAAACAACTAAGAAATTTAAGCTTTTAATTTTAAATTTTCAACTAGGTATGAAATATTAGTCCATTTCTTACCAGGAAACATAGAAGCAATTCTTAATTTATCCAACACAGAAACAGAGCAAATAAATGGTTGGTTGTGTTTCAGATGTAACCTCTTCATGTTCTAGATTAGGAGTCAGTAAACGGTAAAGGACAAGATAGTAAATATTTTAGGCTTTGCAGGCCACTGGTCTCTATACCATCTACTTATCTCTGTTGTTGTCGCTTGAACCTGCCATAACAAGGTGTGAACCAGTAGACTTAGCTGTGTTCCAATAAAACTTTATTTACAAAGACAGTGGGTGGTAATTGGCTCACAGGCTATAGTTTGCAGACCCTTCAGTAGATTGGAAAAGTCTTCAAATACAGATATTACATGTTTTTAATCCTTGTTTACAGATTGCCATATTTTTACACAGATTCATGGAAACAAAAATGTGAGATCTATTTCTGTTAATAGTGGTCCAAAGAATTTATTTGTTTCTATTTGTATACTTAGTATTTCTCAAGGAAAAAATAAGAAAACGTGAAGCTACACATTATTTCTTGTTCCATCAACAACAGCATGGAATGGTATTGTTTTAAATGTTTTGTTTCTCTCTTCTGTATGTGGTTAAATTTAAACCTTATTGCATACTAATAACCTATTTGGTCTCTTTAGGTCTGGGTGATTCAGAATACACGTACTTCTGTAATGGGGGGAAGATAATTGATAAACGA